TCCAGCCCTCCCCTTGAAGTGGCCTCCACTGCACCTTGCATTTCATATTTCTGGCATGGAGTGGAGAAACAAGAGTAGGAGAGTTTCTGGCTCATTAGGAGCAAGGGCCCCTTCCCATCCAGGCCAGCACCCATCTCACCCAGGCACAGGCTCTCTAGCTTGCTTGCCGCATGGCCCCACATGTCTCCCTTCTGTAGCTACCCAGTGCCCCAGCTTCAAGGGACTAGAGAGAGGGGTCTGGATACCGCCTACCCTGTGGTCTGGTAGTTGCAGCATTTTGTGAGGAAGCACATGTAGATTCAAAACCCTTCTGGGTCAGGAAGATGGGGCTAGGCACTGGGTCTCCCACTCCCTGCATGAGTAGCCTTCCCATTAGCTTAAACAATACATTAGGGGAGGGCGCTCATTCTCCTCCCACCTCTCCAATGAGCTTTGCCCAGCCAAAGTGTCATGACTTATAGTACGGCCTAATGGGCGGACCTGACCTGTTCATGGCTCCAAACATGCCGAGCTGGAGCACAACCCCACCCAAAACTGCAGCTCTGTGGCTGTGGCCATGCTGTTCAGGCACACAAGGTGAAGCGGGATATAGCCCTGTGACCCAGTTCACCTGCACAGGCAAGAAAGAAGCCATGCCCATGTCAAACATCTAGGAAACTTCAGTCTTCTCCAGGAAGTTGTTGAAGTCAAGGATGTAATAACTTACAAGGGGACTGGACATATCAGGACCAAAATTGGCTTCAGCCAATACTAAACTAACTGGAAGAGAGGGAGGCTGTACTGTGCTGCACCACAATTAATACTGTGATGCTGAGATTACACAAGTCATCACAAATTCCTGGTGCAAAAGGTGTCGATTTTTTAAACAGGATGGATTTCAGGGAGTGGATCTGGACTGTGTCGTCCCTGTGGCTTTCTGGGCACCGGTCAGTGTACAGGTGATGCTCCCAGTTCTCTCTTCTTTTTCATTTGGCCCTGACTTCAGACAGCTGGACACATGTCAGTGCTGGATCTCCCATTGTAAGTCTTCCCCAACTGCACCCATGCCATCCCAAAGGGGACTAGAGGTGTGCTGACTCCTCCAGGTAATCAAGAGGGAGGTCTCCTCCACCTGGCTTGGAGGTGAAAACAACCCACTATTTCTAAAGTGGAGTCATATACATGTTCTTCTGCAAACACAAGGAGGATATTTTAACCAGTGAAAAGTTTTGCTTTCTTACCTTTGTCCTTTGAGAGCACCTGCACAAGTTCGTACTTGGCCATGTCCTCCATTCCCTGGTTGTTCTCATCCAATATTTTTTTGATTACATCCGCTGTCCTGTCCTGGCAAGTCAGCTGGAAAAGGGATTTTGCAGTGAATGATTTTGCTTCTTTGTGTATGGAAGTCTGTTTTCAGTTTACCTTTGGATCTGGCCCTAAGTTTCAGAGTAGTGAGAAAAGGTCATGTTTTTGGAATGACTTTGTAGCTGCCGCTGAGCAGAAAACTGCGGTACACCTGACAGTGCAGTATGTTTGCATTCAAAAAGACAGGGCATGCACTAGCTGGGGCACCAGCAACTCAGAGTCATTTCCTTGAGCAAACGTTTGGAGACATGACGTGCCTGTCTTCCTAGCCATCCCCTTCCACGTAAATCCTTGTCCTATATGTTGCTCACAGGCATCAACTGAGTTACAGTCTGAGGTGGCAAATACTTTCTTTGACACCTGTGAAGTTTTTTGGCCTTGTTTCTTGTTTCCAGGCTGCTGTGGAAGTGCAATGGGTTGTGAAGAAGCACAGGGCTCGATGCAAACCCTTTTGAAATCAGCAGAAAGATTCTTCCCACCTTCAACAGGATGTGGGTCAGACCCATAGTTCACTTGCAGGGATTCAGGTCTTTAAAACTGCAACAAAAAATACTGAGAACTACAACTGTGCATTTATGTCACTGAAAAATAGATCTGGCATGTTTGTCTGGTGTCTCATGGGTGAGGTGCAGACAGTGTGTGGACGAAAATTACAGAGAGATGGAAATTGCGTAGTGCACAGCATATTGTAACAAAGGGTGACGGTTTCTGTCTCTATTTTACTCTACCAAGCGGAGTCACTAAACTGTGTTTGTCCCTGGGGTAACAAGGACCACTATGAATGTTATTTTCCCTCTGGCTCTCTGAAATCTTTCATTCCCATGTGATCACCCACACGTGGCGGAGTCCCAGAAGCCACTGGCGTGGTCCTGTGCTATCAGGACTTTTCTTGCCTAAATCTACCTTGTGCCTGTGAGTTGGCACAAGCAGCAGCTGCATCACCATGGGTCTGGCTCAGGGTTTACATCTGAATGCTTTCCCTTTCACTGGAAAGATTCAGCACAGGACATCTCCATCTGGGGAGCGTAGGCAGCAGAAGAGGTATGGCATAGAGAGGTGGAGGGTGGCAGCTTTCTTGTTCACTTCAAACGCTTGTTAGACTGCTCTAGGATGGGTTTCCAGTGCTGAGATTTTTCAGAAGACATTTGTTTTTTAAGAGTTCAGCCTCTGAAATCTATTTTGATCTTTCTCTTTTAATTTTGTGGAAAATCTGGGAGCATTAAAAGCATCTGAGCCCCATAACACTAGATTTTTTCTTATTGTTATTTTTCAAAATGCTCCAACAGCCATAAATAAAGCCTTGAATTTAAGGCAAAGATTATAAGCCTATCCAGATAGCATAACAACGGATGATAGTGGAGACAGAGAAGTTAGACAGGGAGATCAGATGAATCAGAAGAAAGCAAGCGATCGTGATATGATAGACTTCATTTTTCTGAGACAGGGAAGGCATGAGGTCAGCACTAGTAAGACCCTGGATTTCAAAGTGGGGATTTAAATTGATTCAAGGACATGGTAGGCATGGTGACAGGTCAAGGATGATGTGGCCGAGGATGGCTGGCAGCTTCTAAAGGGGAAAGTCTAGAAAAGTAACAAGAAACTATTCCGAGATGATTGGATTGGAACCCGTCCTCCCCCAGAGGTGGGGGGCCTCTAATCCACCCCCCACATACACACACACACTCACTCCAGTGCAGGATGGGTAAACCCCAGAATGGACTTCTCTCTCCTTCCTGCTCCCCCTCCCATCCTGAGATAGAACTGCAGCTTGGGGGTGGGGGGAGGCGGGCTAGGGGAGAGAGGCTGCCTCTCTCGCTGGATTGGCTCCAAAGTGAAGCTCGAGCCCCAACTCTTCCCACCCAATAATGAATGTTTCCTGGGTCGAGAGAGTCAGGCTATCTCATGGTGCTTTCTGTGAAGTGCCATGAGTTAGACTGGGGAGCTGCACATCTTTCAGAGCCCTTTGGGATAGGAAATGTGTCTTATCTATTGTCCCAGCCTTGCAGTCTAATCCACATGGGTGGAGGCTGCACAGAGTCCTCGTGGGGGGTCTATAGAGTTCAGGCTGCATATAGAAAGCTCCGTCTACATGTTTCTCACTAAAGAAATCCCTTACAACAATGACTCGGCACCGAGTCTTTACATGTGCTCACGGAGAAGCATGATGTACTTTTGAAAGAATAAATTGTTCAGCTTTGTATAAACACGAGCAAACCTGATGGACACATAAAATAAGTGATCACTATCAAACAGTTCCTATCACACTCTCAAATGAGACACTGACCTGCCCTCTCCGCACTCCCTGGCACACAGACAATTTTATTCTAATTACTCTCCGTTATTTCAAGATTTGGATCATTTCATTCTCATTCAAGTGAGGTGTCTGTCACTCAAAGTTTAGGAACCTTTTTCAAATATGACTGCAAGAAATAAATGCAAGGACAAACCCCCTGGAAACTTGTGCTCACTTTGAACAACA